TGTAGTTCGCGATCGGTCCGATGCGGTTGCGATCGGTCCCGGTCGCCTGCCCCCCCCCTCCCTCCCGCCTTCGAGGCCGCCAGAGCCGCAGCAGGCCCCCCCCTGGCGCGCGGGCGCGGACCTGCCGCTCGACTCCACGCCAGGCGCGCCCGCCTGCCGCCCTGGCGCCAGGGTCCCGCCGGATTGCCGCTGGCCGCCCGCCGCCGCCGCCTCGGGCCAGCGGGCGCCATCCGCGGCCGCCGCCGCCGCCTGCCGCCAGCTGCGGCGCCGACGACGACGACGGCGGCGGTCGAGGCGTCGGCGGCGGCGGTGGCGGCGGCTGCGGCGGCCGGCGGGGACATCAACGGTGGCGGCGGCGCGGCCGACGGTGGCGGCGGCGGTCGCGGCGGCGGTGGCGACGCCAGAGGTGAGGGGCAGGGGTCGGAGGGCAGGAGCGGTTGCAAAAGGAGGGGCAAGGTGGCAGGGGGAGGGAGGGGACAAGGGGGCGGAGGGGGATGAGGATGCGGAGGAGAGTGGGAGGAGGGAGGGGTGAGGGCGAAGGGGACCACGAGGAGCACCAGGGAGGACCAGCCTGAGGACGACGATGATGCCACTGTTCTTGATCATGATGGCGACGATGATCAGATTCTCCTCCTCCTCCTCCTCCTCTTCCTCCTGCTCCCCTCCTCCTCCTGCCATCCCAGCGGTGCCCCCGCTGCAGCGTTAGCCGTTAGCCTCATTTTGGGATCGACGCGTTGCTCCCGTCGTTCAGAGTGACGCTCTCGCCCCAGCGCGGGCGCCTGCTGCTGCGGTCCGTCCTCGTCTTCCTCCTCCCTCCTCCTCCTCTTCTTTCTCCTCCTCTTCCCACCCCCCTCCTCCTCCTTCTCATCCTCCTCCTCCTCCTCCTTCTCCTCCTCCTCCTCCTCCTCCTCCTCCTCCTCCTCCTCCTCCTCCCCCTCCTCTTAGTTCTTCTCCTCCACCTCCTCTTCCTCATCCTCCTCCTCTTCCTCTCCGTTCACTTCCCCTGGGCTTCCCTCCCCCCTCCTCCTCTTCCTCCTCCTCCCACACCGCGCTCTTGCCGGCAGTGGGCTCCGTGCCGCTGCGCGAGCTCGTCGCCACCCTGCGGAGCATGGTGCGCGCCGAGGCCACGCCAGAGGGCCAGCAGGCGCCGAGAGTCGGAGGACGCTAGCAGCTAGCAGCGTCAGCCTTCTCCCTCCTCCCCCTCCCCCTCCTCCTCCTCCTCTCCTCCTCCTAATCACTCCTCCTCCTCCTCCTCCTCCTCCTCCTCCTCCTCCTCCTCCTCCTCCTCCTCCTCCTCCCCCCGCCGCCGACGGGGGCGATGAATTGGGGGGGGCAGCGATGGCTGCCGAAACCCAGGCCCCTCGCGTTGCTCAAACATCGCGACCGGAGATTTTTTTTTGCCATTTTCGGCCCCCGGAAGCCCTTAATCTCGAGCCTCGGGACCGTCAATGAACGACTCAAGATGATCAACTGGTCCAGGGGAAGCTGTCGAGACCTTGGGGGGTCGAAGTTGTGAAACATCACGATGTCGGGGGTCTGGGAATGGGGCCCTTCAGGGCCCTTAGAGAGGGGCCCTTTCGGGTCCAGAAGAGGGCCTTGAGGGCCCGAAAAGGGTACCTTGCTTCCCTCCCCCTTCTTTACCGCTCCCTATTAGTTCGCGCCCAACGAGAGCGCCGGCCCAGCGGCGGCGACGGCGACGGCGGCGACCACGACCGCGGCGACGGCGACGACGGCGACGAGGGCCCTCGAGATCTGGGCGCCTCATCCGGTCCCTGGAACCATCGCAGTTGGATCCAGATCGAAAAATGCAGCAAGCATCTGTCCAGGTTGTGTTCTGTTCGCGATGTTGCATTTTTGTTGCAACGTTTGATATCAGGGACTGCGGCGACGGCGACTGCGGTGAGGACGACAGCGACCAGGAGGAAGACTACAGCGGCGGCGATGATGTTGTCGTCATGGCTTCCATCAATGTTTCTGTCTCCATCCCCATCTTCATCCTCCTGTTGCTCCCGCTCCTGCTGCTCCTCCTGCTCATCTCTTCCTCCTCCTCCTCCTCCTCCTTCCCGTCGTTCTGCTTCTTTCACTCATTCTCGTTGTCGCTGCTGTCGTCGCCACTGTTGTCGTCGTTTTTCTTCATCGCCCTCGTCCGCTCCCCTCCTCCTCCTCCTCCTCCTCCTCCTCCTCCTCCTTCTCCTCCTCCTCCTCCTCCTCACCATCACCATCACCATCACCATCACCACCACCATCATCATCATCATCATCATCATCATCATCATCATCATCATCATCACCATCATCATCATCGTCATCATCATCATCCACGTTTAATCATCACCACCACCATCATCACCATCATCACTACCATCATCATCATCAGCATCATCAGCAGCATCGTCATCATCATCATCATCATCATTATTATTATCATTATTATTATTAGCGTCATAATCATCATCACCACATCAGTATCATCATCACCATCAGCATCACCACCATAACGATCACCATCACCACCACCACTATCATCATCAGAAACATCATCAACATCATAATCATCATCATCATCATCATCATCATCATCACCGTCAGCATCATCATCAGCGTCACCATCAGCATCAGCATTACCATCACCATCACCATGCCCACCACCATTATCAGCAACATCAGCATCATCACCATCATCATCACCATAACCGTCACCACCATCATCATCAGCAACACCATCAACATCATCATCATCATCCTCAGCATCATCATCGTCATCATCATCATCATCATCATCATCGTCACCACCACCATCATCATCAGCAACACCATCAACACCATCATCACATCATCATCGTCAATATGATCACAATCACGCTTTTACGTTGCATTTCCTCCTCCACTGTTGTTTGTTCCCCTGCCTCCCCCTCCTCAACTTCGTCTCTCCGCTCACCTTTCTCCTCTTCGTCACCATCGTCATAGTCCTCATCCTTCCTTCCTTCCTTTCTTCATTCGCGAGCGCGGCGCGCGACAGGCGTCCCGCCGCGCCTCCCCCGCGCGAGCAGCTCCCGCCGCTGCCGGTGTCGTCGTCGTCGCCGTCGTCGTCGTCGTCGCCGTCGTCGTCATCGTCGTCGTTGCCGACGTCGTCGGTCGCGTCGCGCGCTCCACATCGCGTCCCAGGCGGAGCGCCAGCGGCTGGAGCGCCGCGTGGCCCTCCTCGAGGAGCCCCCCGTGGCCCCCTCCCGGCGGCCGGCTGCCGCCGCTGGCGCTTGCTGCCTGCTGTAGTGCGCTCGGGGCGTCGGGCCCTCCCCCTCCTCCCCCTCCTCCTCCTCCTCCTTCTTCTCCTCCTCCTCCTCCTCCTCCTCCTCCTCCTCCTCCTCCTCCTCCTCCTCCTCCTCTTCCCGTAGCCATTGTGGCTCAAGTTCCATGCTTTGGCGGGCTGGGCCCGCATCGGCAAAAACGGATACCGCTAGTCCGCGGCAGTTCTCACCCATCACGGAGGTCCTCCGACCACTGCGCGATCAGCAGCCCCAGCAGGGGTGCGCAGCTGGATCGGAGGGTTCGCGAGCCTCCACGTCCACGACATGGCCCCGCCGCCTGCGGCCACCGTGCTCCGCGGGCCGCGCAAGCCGCACTGGAGCTGCGGCCAGTGCAGCCGCGCGGAGAACTGGGCGTGCCGCATCCAGTGTCTCTGCGGGCGCGACGCGCCCGCCGCCATCATCTCCCGTGCCCGCCAGAAGCACAAGGAGGCAACCGAGGCTGGCGGCGGCGGCGGCAAGAAGTCGGGCCCCAAGCAGCAAGGAGGCTCGACGCAGGGCATCCCCAAGCAGCCCGCGGAGTGGATGCAGGCCATCGAGAAGCGCCTGGCGCCGCCCGACAAGGAGTGGCCCAAGCCTGGTGGCACAGCGCCGTGGCGTGAGGCCGCAGACGGCGCTGACCCTGATAAGAAGTCGCAGAGTGCCAAGCTCGCGGAGCGGATCACGGAGCTTGAGGAGTGCCTCAAGAAGCTTCCACCCGCTGACGAGCGCAACAGGGATCTTCGGGGTCCAATCGAGAAGCAGTTGGAGACACTGCGCGCGGAGAAGCGTGCGCTGCTGTCTTGCTGTCTCCCCAGGCCCTCCATCGGCGCACGCAGCAGGATCTGCAGCGGGCGCGGAACGGCCTGGAGAAGTTGGAAAAGGAGTTGTGTGAGAAGGAGCGCCAGCTGGATGAGCTGGCCAAGGGCATCGCGATGCGCAAGGAGACGATCGCAGCCAAGAAGCTGGAGGTGGCGGCGCTGGACGCTGCATTCAACGAGTCGGCCAAGAACGTCACCACCGTCGCGGCTGAGATCGACCTCGCTGAGGAGGACGTGGCCGACCAGCCCGACCTCGTCGCTCTCCTCATGTCCGAGGCCTGGGCCAAGCTCAAGTCGGCGGTCGCCAGCAAGGCTGCTGCCCGCGCTGCCAGCACAGGGGCTGTTCCTCCTGCTGCTGATGCCGCTGATGAGGCTATGCCTGCCCCCACGGACGTGCAGAAGCGGGCCCTCTTCCACGCGCGGAGCGAGGGGGGCGTCGACGGCTTCATGCCCGCCTTCGACACCATGTGGTCCGAGCTGGCGGCCAAGCGTGCGCGGCATGGGTAGCCCAGCGGCTGCCTGGCCCGTCGTCTGCGGGCTGACTGGGCGCGGGCGGGCGCCGCCGAGCGGGGCCAGGCCGGCTGTCGGTGCTGAGTTCAGCATCGAGACCTACAGCGCCAGCGGCGGCAAGGCGTCCGTCAAGAAGCGCCTTGCCAGCACGTCGGCAAGCGTGGTGTTGCTGCAGGAGTTCGGGCACATCAGCGAGCACGTTGAGGCACTGGCTTCATGGTGCGGCGTGCGAGGCTGGAAGCTCATGGCGTTGCCGAGCCTGCCGGCTACTGGTTCTGTGCCGTCGGCAGGAGTTGCTGTTGCCGTGCGCGATCGCCTCGGACTTCGCCCTCCCACCCTCGGAGCGCACGAGGTCTTGCCGAACCGAGTTGAGCACGTTCTACTAGATATACCCGAGTTGCCTGTCGGCCTGCATGTCTTCAACGTGTACCTGTACACGGGCGAGGGCGCCGCTGGCCGCAACGGCAGGCTGTTGCAGGAGTTGGGCCTTGCTGCTGAGGCACTGGACGGTCCCGTCGTCGTCGGCGGTGATTGGAACATGTGCCCTGGCGAGTTGGAGGCGAGCCAATTTCCTGCTCATGTTGGTTGTTCGATTGTGAGCACTTCTTCCATCGCGTTTCGAGGAGGTACAGGTCAGTCCATCATTGATTACTTTCTCTTCAACTCAGCGGCCATGAGGATGCATGCGGGCGCGGGCATCGATGTCAAGTGGGCCAAGCGAGGCCATCGTCCTGTTCATGCTGTCCTCAAAGGTGATGCTGAGCACGTCGAGCGACTGGTCTACACGGTGGCGCCAAAGATGGGCACTCAGATCATCATCGGGCCGCAGGTGCAGCCGCCTGCTTACACTAGCGCTCGGTGTGTTGCTGAAGCTGCCGTTCAGACCTGTGCCGATCCTGAGTCTCCTCCTGGAGTTGGATGGGGCCTCCTCTCGGCGGCGTGGGGCCACTTTGCGGTCACAGCTGCCGAGGCTATTGCTGGCGCTGTTGGTCATCAGGATCGCAATGTTCTTCATGGGTTTGCGCGTCCCTTGCAACCTCGTTGGGTCGACATCACCTGCGCGGTTAAGGACGTGTCCGACTTGCAAGCCGTGGCAGAGGGATGGCAATGGTTGCAGTCCTCCCTCCTCAGCATCATGCAGTTCAAGACGATGGTCAACCCGTCCGCGCAGGACTTGGCGATGGCTGCAGAGGAGATCCTCAATTTCACCACGGCCAACTACCACGGGCAGGGCCTCGCTACGCGCCTCGACCGATCTGTTCAGCAGGCGCGCGGCCTGATGCAGGCTGTCTTCGACGAGGAGGCCTGCCGCGAGTTCCTCGGTGACATCAAGGCCGACGTCAAGCTCGCGCTCAACGGAGCTACTCAGGATGACCACCAGAAGTGGACGGAGTGGTGTGCCATAGCGGTCTCCAGTGGCTCGCGTGTCCTTCACCGTGCCACGAAGTACCGTGGCGTTGCTCAGCCTACGGTGGTCCCTACGGCCCATGGTGTGTCGGCTCACGTTCATGATGTTGTTCGGCATGAGGTGGAGCTGTACAAGAGGTTGTGGTCCAGCCCCCGACCTGTGCCGGCGTGGATTCCTGACCGAACGGCGCTGCCGCAGGCGACTCCTGACGAGATACGCGCAGTTGCGCGATCGTTCTCGGTCAACACCACGGCGGCGCCTGACCATGTTCATCCTCGTCACTTCCTTCTCTTGGATGATCCGGCGCTCGAGGTGGTCGTCCTAATGTTCGCGGCGATGGAGTCCCTCGGCCTGCCGCCGAGGCAGCTGTGCTGGTTGATCACGCCAATGCTGCCCAATACGTCTGGTGCTGGCAATCGGTTGGTGGTACTCTACGCTGGTCTTTACAGGGTCTGGCAGCGGCTGCGACGGCCAGTGCTTCGAGAGCTGCAGGAGCAGATTGATAGGCCGTACTGGGGTGCTGCTCGCGGGCGGCCCTCCGTCGACTGCGCGCGGCCCCAGGCGGCCGAGGGCGAGGCCGACAGCAAGCAGGCCTACCACGGAGCGCTCGCCGTTGCCGACTTCAGCAAGCACTACGAGCGCATCCCCTTGACCAAGCTGCGCGACAAGCACATCAGCCTCAACGCGCCCACGGCCTTTCTGAAGTTGGTGTACAACATGTGGCGTGCGCCACGTGTGCTGCGGCTGACTGGTCATCATGCGGAGCAGGCCCTTTGTGCTGATTGCGGCCTCCCTGCGGGAGATGTGTTCTGTGATGTTTCGATTAAGGTATGGTCTGTAAGGGAGTATGACAGCTTCCTCGTCAGGCAGCCTTTCGTTCAGTTTATGAGCTACATTGACGACAACTCTTTTCGGGTTTCGTCTACCACAATGAGTACGACTACTTCCATGATGGTCGACGCCATGCTGGAGTTCAGGGGCACGGTCTCGGAACTCGACGCGATCATCAACGACAAGGTCGTGATTGTCGGCACCAGACCCTCCCTTGCGCAGGGCATCGTTGCCAGGCTTGGCCTGCCTGCCTCGGTCGCGAGGCGCAGCGCTGTCTACGTCGGCGTCGACGTCAGCAAGGGCAGCAGGAGGGCCGACCAGGGCGTGCTCACCAAGCGCGCCAAGCGCAAGGCGCACATGCTGAGGCGCATGCGGAAGAACAGGCGCTTCGGCAAGGTCATCACTGGCCACAAGGCGCAGTCCATCGGCCGCGTCATCCGCGCTGGCGCCCTGCCCGTGGCCACCTACGGCAGTGAGGTTGTCGGGCTCAACAACTCGGAGTGGCTGAGGTGCAGACTCGATGTTGCTCGAGGGCAGCTTCCAGCGCACGGTGGTGTGAGCCTTTTGCTCGGCGATGGCGCCGCCGCCTCTGCCGTTGCGCCTGCGATCCAGTGGTGCAGAATGTCGTGGCAATCGGAGGTATGTAACCACCCGCTTGCTGTGCGTGCTGGTTTGTTGCGGCTCTGGCGTGAAGCCAAGCCATGTCAGGTCACCGACTGGGCATCTAGTCGTGGCCCCCTGTCTCGAGCCGCGCTAGCTGCGCAGCGCGCGGGTTGGCGAATCCTGTCTGCTATAAGCTGGATTGACCATCGGGGATCTATCATTGATCTTAGTAGAACGCCTCCGAGTACGATCTCTACTCTCATGTTAGCTGGCATTCAGCGTCAGCACGAGATTTCCTTAGCCATGCAGCTGGGAGCTCCGCCAGGATCCAGGGCCTCGCTCGACTTCGTTCGATCGGCGGTCGGCGGTCGGTCTCGTCGGCTTTCCAGTCTGCAGAAGTTTCTCGTCGGGAGCTGCTCGCGCCGCGGAGTCTGGACCAAGGCCCACGCCCAGGCTGCTGGCTACCTCTGCGATGGCCTCTGTGCGTGCGGCGAGAGGCAGATGATCAAGCACTGTCTTCACGAATGCATGCTGCCTGCGGTTGTTGCTGCCCGTGCCGAGGCTGAAGTCAGCCCGTTGATCATCAGGGCCGGTCTCGATTCTGACGATCCCATATTTGTGCAAGGAGTTTTCCTGCATGATGAAGAGGAGATTCCTCCCCCATCCTGCTCGGATAAAGTGGTCCTCGAGGGCCCTGAGGGGGAGGAGTTGGCGGTTGAGGTTGAGGGGGTGGCGTCTCTGGTCCAGGGCCCCCGATTGGACGTAGCCCCTGATGGCTCTTGCACGCGTCCAGGCTTAGTAGAGCTTGAGCGTGCGTCGTGGTCTATTGCAGTGCTTGCGCCTGAGTCTAATGTGCCTGTGGCAGTCATTCGAGGCCCTGTCGCAGGCAACCTTCCTCAAACGCCGAGTATCGCCGAAGTATTGGCCAGATCGCCGACCGTGAGACTCTGGCTGGCAGTGACTGTAGCTCCACGATTCGGCGATTCCAGCAACCTGTGCAAGCCCAGCTGGGTGCGTCCAACCAGGCAGCTGGCATTCTGAAGTTTGGTCGTGGCCTTGAAGGCCACCAATTCATCTCGGCTTGGCACGTTAAGGCTCATCGGTCCCAGGAGCAGATTGACAGTCTCTCGGGCGAGGAACGTCACTGGGCCGAGGCGAACCAATTCGCCGATCATCACGCTAAACTCGCTGCCAGTTTGCACCCTGCTCCGTCGCCAGAGTTTTTGGCCAAGCTCGATCTCGCGAGGAGTCGGGCCGCCGATTTTGTTTCGTTGGCTGCTGCTGTCCTCCCGTGTTTCCTCGAGGAGAGCCCGCAGCGGTGGCGGAGACCCGCGCCACTGTGCCGAAAGAAGAGCTCTCGGGGGGAGGGGTGGCACTCTTGGGGTCTTGGTGAGCTCGGCTGGCAGTGCGAAGTCTGCTTCGAGGTTGCGCCATCGTGTCGCAACCTGCCGTTGAATCGTTGTCTCGGGACCCCGTCGTTTTTGAAGCCTCTCACGGAAGACTCGTTGGGGCATCAGCTTGTCGCCGTCAGTGGCTCTCGTCCTGCTCCGTTGCATGCTGCGCGGTGCTGCGCCGAGGAAGAGAGCACCGAGGCTCGACGGGGTTCCCTGCTTGGTCTGAAGTGTGGAGGTTGGAGCCAGGAAAAGGCCATTAAGTTGAGCAAGCCCTGCGCCCCATCCACCAACACTGGTAAAATGATTTTGTCTCGTTTTCGGAGAGGGCCCGCCCCGAATCCCCGAATTCGTGCGTTGATCGACCGAGCCGTCCCTGCCCTTCGCGTCGGTCTCACAGTGGCTAGTGCGCGGGATGTCAGAGCGTCGACGTCAGTCGTTGAATACCCGGTCGGCAGTGCAATCCCGCACGAAGCTCGAATGGCTCGCATGCTGGAGCGGGTTCGGGCTCGCGAGAACAGCCGCCAGGTTTAAGTTTCTCGGAGCGGGTGCACCTGTCGCGAGCGCCGAGAGTGGCAAGTGTCCACCACTCTCGGCCTCACAAAATCTCCCCCCGAACGTGCACCCGCCCCCACAAGTTTTTAGGGCTGGCCCCTCTCTCCTCGGACTGTCCTCCTGGGAGTCGTCTCATCTCATCTCATCCTCCTCATCCTCGTCCTCCTCCTCCTCCTCCTCCTCCTCCTCCTCCGCCTCCCCCTCCTCCTTTTCCTCCTCCTCCTTTTCCTCCTCCTCCTCCTCCTCCCCCTCCTCCTCCTCCTCCTCCTCCTCCTGCTCCTCCTCCTCCTCCCCTCCTCCTGCTCCTCCTCCTCATTCGCCACCTCCTCATCCTCCTCCTCCTCCTCCTCCTCCTCCTCCTCAATCCTCCTCCTCTCCCTCCTCCTCCTCCTCCCCCGCCTCCTCCTCTTGCTCCTCCTCCTACTCCTCTCCTCCTCCTTCCTCCTCTTCCTCTTCTCCTCCTCCCCCCCTCCTCCACCTCCTCCCCTCCTCCTCCTCCTCCTCTCCTCCTCTCCTCCCCCGCCTCCTCCTCCTGCTCTCCTCCTACTCCTCCTCCTCCTCCTTCATCCTCCTCCTGCTCCTCCTCCTGTCCTCCTCCTCTCCTCCTCCTCCTCCTCCTCCTCCTCCTCCTCCTCCCCACCTTCCCTCCTGCTCCTCCTCCTGCTCCTCCTCCCCCTCCTCTCCTCCTCCTCCTCCTCCTCCCCCTCCTCCTCCTCCTCCTTCTCCTCCTCCTCCTCCTCCCCTCCTCCTCCTCCTCCTCCTCCTCCTCCTCCCCCATCCTCCTCCTCCTCCTCTCATCCTCCTCCTCCTCCTTCTCCTCCTCCTCCTCCTCCTCCTCCTCCTCTTCCTCCTTCACCTCCTCCTCCTCCTCTTCGTCCTCCTCCTCCTACCCCTCCTCCTCCTCCTCCTCCTCCTCCTCCTCCTCCTCCCCCTGCTCCTCCTCCGCATCCTCATCCTCCTCGCCCCCCTCCTCCCCCTCCTCCTCCTCCTCCTCCTCCTCCTCCTCCGCCTCCCTCCCCTCCTCCTCCTCCTCCTCCTGCTCCTGTAGCAACGTGTAACAGTGTGCAATGCTGAATGTTTCCGTGCTGGCCGCAACTGTCTGTGCTCAAGCGGTTTTCGAGGCGGCGGATGGGAGATTTCGGCTGGGCCTTTTCTGCCGACAAGTCCCCTGCCCCGGCGCCCAGCTTCATAAGTGGCGTCAAGGAGGCGTTCGGCGTCAGCCCCTGCGCCTTGGGGCTCTCGAGCGCCGCCCACGCCTGCCTGGGCGCGCAGGACATCTGGGGAGCTCCTGTACCCCTCGGGCTGTCCGTGACGGCAGCCGGCCTGGCCTTCGCGTTGGGCGCACTGCTGGTGCTGGCGGCGCAGGCATTGTGCTGCTCTTGCTACGTGACCTGCAGGCTGGTGCTGACGGGCGCTTCCGTGCTCAGACAGCCGGGCCCTCAGGAGGTTCTTGCCCCCTTGGTGCAGGACCGACAAGATGCGCGCGGCTCCGAGAAAGCGAAGGTCATTGGTGGGGCTGAAGCCCGGGGACGTGGTCTTCGTCAACTACGGGGTGGACGAGGAACCCTGGCATGAGCGCCTGATCCTCGCGGTCGTAGACCACTGCTGTTACATCATTTTGACCCCAGACGGGGACATCTACGCGGAGACCATCAGCCTGGAGTACCTCCAGGACTTCAGGGAGGGGGGCCCCCGAGGGGGGCTTCCCCCTGGGCTGGGCGCGGCGCGCGGCCAGCCCGTGTACCGCTTCTCGTCGAGGCCGGTCGGGCAGGAGCTGCAGGACTTGTTCGAGGAGGGCCGCGCCAAGGCGGCCGAGGAGGGGCGCACGATGGGCATTCTGGAGGACGAGCCGGAGCCGCCACCAGCGTCGGCGGGAGCCGGCGCGAGCGGGGCTCCCCCCCTGCCTCCCTTGGCGGGTTCGCCTCCTGCTGGGTCAAGCTCGGAGCTCTTCAAGTGGGTGTGTGTGGCGCGGTCGGCACAGGTGAGTGTTGGCAACGCCTTCATGCTTGCGGCGCAGCACCACACACCATCGGACAGCTTCGTGAGCTGCGGCTCGGTGGGCCTGCATGACATGGGCCTGCGAGGTGATCCCGCGGTGCTCTACCGCGTGGAAGTGGGGGAGCAGGAGGTTGAGATGATCGAGCACTTCAGGCGCTTGACGAAGAAGGACGGCGACGTCGAGGGCACGGACACTCCCCCGGTGCGAGCGCCAGGAGTATCCAGTGCCGAGGACGCCCGCACCTTGCCTGTGCTGCGCGACAGCGCGGGACGGCGCTTCAGGGACATGAAGAGTGTGGCGAACAGTTCGGAGATGTGTGCCTTCGACGACTGGGTGCTGGAGGGGCCGCGTACGGCATTGTACCTGGTGAAGGAGATAGCTAAGCAGGCGGCGGGCCCCCTCCAGCGTCACTCGACCTGGAAGCACGAGAACAAGCTGCAGGATGACGAGCACAATGCGGCGACGCACGAGATGCTTTCGGAGATCCTTGAGCTGGCGACGACGTTCGACCAGCTCGACGTGTCGAACTTGGCGATCATGGAGAGCCTGTGCCGCCACATCCAGTACATCGAGCAGCGCATCAAGAAGAAGCGGGAGGCCGGGAAGGACTTCGACCTGCAGGACTACTACCTGGGCAGGACGCGGCGCACCGGCGGCGCGCTGATGGCCCCGGAGCTTCAGAAGTGGGTGGCCGAGTCGGCGGCCCGTGATTCGTCCATCTTGAAGGAGGAGAGGAAGGCCGCCGAGGAGCGTGCGCTTGCGCGCGCTCCAAAGAAGTCATGATGGACCCAAGATCCGGGGGCTGGCCGTCCCGGGTCGCAGATTCAGGCCGTATCATGGAGAGGGTAGTGCCGCGGGACCTGTTCCCCTTGCCCTAGGTGACCTACAGCTCTCCTGAACAGCGCCGAGGTCCTCGCCGTGCTGCCCAACGTCTGGGCATGAAGGCGGCCATCGGCCGACGCTCGAACGACTGCATCGCCGCCCTCAACAACCTGTATGGGGACGGCTCGTTTTTGCCTGGAGGAAGACCCTCTCAGGCACAGTTCTCGGCGCTCGACGGCATCCTGCGCGCGGTCACCGATGACATGCCGCCGGACCCGTTGCCCGCCCCCGAGGCAGCCCTTCAGGAGTTGCTCGGTACCGAGGCCCTCGACTACGCGTCTGAGGACCTCTCCGTGGTTGCACCGTATGATCGCGGCTTGGTCTCGTGGCCGGACACCGCAGGCTCGGTGAACTTGCTGGACGTGTTGCCAGACCCTGACCGCCAGGAGGTGATCGACGGTCCCCGTGCGTTTCTGCTTCGGGCTGAGGAGGGGCCGCCAGCGACCTGCAAGGTCTACTGGGACAAGACGCTCAAGGCGGACAGAGGCGAGTACGTCAGGTTCGTACAGGACCTGCTGAACAGGGGCATGGTGGAGCTCCGTACTCGCCGTGATTTTGAGGTTGGGATATTCTTCGCGCGCAAGAAGTCAGGCAAATGCGCCTGATAGTGGACGCCAGGTCCGTCAATCAGAACCTCAGGCGGCCCACTTCAATCCAGCTGGCGTCGACCGCGGCGATGGTCGGGCTGGAAGCGGAGCCTGGGGACATGCTAGAGTTCTCGATTCAGGACATTGCTGATTGCTTCTACCAGTTCAAAGTGCCGGACTACATGGTGCAGCGGTTCGGGACGAAGCCCGCCAGGGCTGGCGAGGTGGGGGCCAAGACCGTGCAGGGCGAGCCGGTCCTTGCAGGCGCCTGGGTCTACCCCTGTCTGCGGGCGCTGCCCATGGGCTTCTCGTGGGCCATGAGATGGACGCAGCAGGCTCATCGAGAGCTGCTGCGCCGGGCAGGGCTTGGGGGCATCGAGAACGAGCTGGTGGACCGCCAGGTGCCCCCGTCGGCCTCGGCAGCGCCTGTCCCCCGCATCGTTTACGTGGGTAACGAGGTCTTCGTCTCGTCTCGCCCAGGTGCCTCTGCCGACGCCAGGCGACTGGCGGCCAAGAAGATGTCCAACATCGGGCTGCCGCTGCATGAGGTGGAGGAGGGCAAGCATGTTGTCGAAGCGCTGGGCCTGGAGCTGGACGGCATCAAGCTTCGGTGCCGCCTGGCCTCCTCCAAGCGGTGGCGGCTGGTGCAAGGCGCGCGTGCGCTTTTGAGGCGGCGGCTAGTGGCCGGCAGGGAGGTCGAGAAGCTGATCGGCCACTTCACGCATGCCATGTTGCTGAACCGCCCAACGCTTTGTATCTTCCGCTCCGCCTACGACTACGCTCGGAAGCACTACCGGGCGCCTAGCTTGCTCTGGCCTTCAGTGAGGCAGGAGCTGCAGAATGCCATGCACATCATGCCGCTGCTCGCGGTGCAATTCGATATGCCGCGGTCAGGGTTGGTCACCTGCTCCGACGCTACGCTGAGGGGCTACGCCGTGCAGGAGGCGGACTTCCCGGTGTCTGAGGTCAGGCAGGTGGGGCGCTGGAGTGAACGCTGGCGCTTCAAGGTCGAGGGGGCCGGCCGGCCTCGGGAGCGGGCGTTGGGCGGGTCTCTGCCGATCGATGGACTCGATGCTTTCGCTGAGAATGGAGATCACTACGACGACGACATTGGCATTAGCATCAATCATCAATTCCCTGAGCTACCAGCATCGTTCACCAAGGAGGAGGTTAATTGGAGGACTATACAAGCAAGGAGGTATCACAGGAAGGAGGCAATCCACCTGAAGGAGTTGAGGGCGGTGTTATTTGGGTGGAGGCGCAAATGCAGGCAAGCTAAACATCATCATAAGCATCGTCTATTTCTGTGTGTCAACATGGGCATGGTTCTAAGTCTGGAGAAGGGGCGGGCTGTGTCTGTACCCGTACTCTTTCTGCTCCGAAAGTGGGCCGCTCTTTCTCTGGCCACCTTCTCTCGCACCTGTGTGAGATGGATTGCGAGCGGGCTGAACCCCAGCGATGAGCCCAGCCGATGGTTCGACACGCCTGCTGAGAAGGCGGCTGCAGCTGCGCTGGGAGCCCACTGGCGTGAGGCTCACGGAGGGGTGCCTGAGGCGTGTAGCAGCGCCTCCCGCGCTGGCTGGTGCAGGCGCGCCTGGCCCCCCCCCGCCGCCGGCGAGCCGGCTCCCGAGAGACAGCTGCAGCGTCGGAGCGGCCCGGTGCCCAGCGCGGTCGTCGGGCCATGGCAGAGTGGCGGCGGCCCAGGTTACCTCGACAAGGCGGCTGCGCGGCTCATCGACGAGGTCTCGCCGATCCCCTGCGAGGTCGAGAGGCCTCCTCCCGCCTCTGGCGGCTGGGGCGAGGGGCCGGGCTCGAGCGAGGATCGCTGGTACTGGTGGGCCGACCGTCCTGGAGCAGGAGAGCGCAACGGCGAAGACCAAGGAGGACTACGAGCGGAGGCTGGAGCGGTTCTTCGGCTTCTGCAGCATCAACGGCCTGGCGCTCGACACCGACCTGCTGCTCGAGGAGGCCCTGGTGGAGTACGTGGGCCTCCTGTTCGCGCAGGGGGGGCCCTGCAACAGCGGGGCCAAGCTGCTGGCGGCGGTGGGCCATCGCTGGCCAAGGCTCCATCATGCCGGGCGGTTGCTGAAGCTGCCGAGGGTGGCGAAGGCGCTGCAGGGCTGGCGACGTCTGGTGCCGCCCGTGACGCGGGCGCCCGTGCCGTGGGCCGCCGTGGCGGCCATCGCGCTGGCCCTGGTCAGGTGCAAGCAGCCACTGGCGGCTCTGGCAGTGGTGCTGGCGGCAGACGCCTACCTTCGGCCAGGCGAGCTGCTGTCGCTCCGGGCCAACCGTGTGGTCCCAGCCCAGGCGACGGCCGGGGGCGACTACCGCTTCGCGTCGCTGGTGCTGATGCCAGAGGAGGAGCTGCAGCCGACCAAGACGAGAGGCTTCAACGACTCGATCCTTCTGGACAGCGTGTCGAGGCCCTACCTAGGCGTGCTGGTGGAGCGGCTGGCGAAGCAGAAGGGCTTCTCGGCGGAGCTCCTCTTTCCGTGGTCGGCCGCGGCTTTCACTGCCATGTTCAAGCGTGCCGCGGCCGACGTCGGCCTGGAGGCTTGGGAACTCACGCCGTACATCCTCAGACACGCAGGCCCGTCGCACGACTGGCTGACCAAGGCTCGGTCCCTGGGCGGCATCAAACGGCGCGGAAGGTGGATCTCCGACATGAGTGTTCGGAGGTACGAGAAGAGCTCGCGGGTAATGCGGCGCCTGGCGACACTGCCGCGAGATTGCCAGCTGCTGTTGGCCGAGTCGACCAACAACCTCGAGGCAGGGCTCAGGTTCGGGCACGTCGGCAGGTTCGAGAGCAGGCGCCAAGACGCAGGCCTCGTGTGAGGCCCCTGTTTTTGGAGTTGTTTTCGGGCAAGCGCGGCCTTTCCCGGGCCATGTCTCGCAAGGGCTGGCAATCGGCCACTTGGGACATCCGGGACTCTCCTAAGCAAGACTTGTCAAAAGAAGCAGTAATTAGGCGCGTGTTGAAATGCGTACCCAGCGCAGGCTGGGTGCATCTCGGCACGCCATGCAGCAGTTTTTCTACAGCACGTCGTGGCAAGCTTGGCAGTCCCGGGGGTCCCCTCAGGTCCAAAATGTATCCTGAAGGCCTTCCTGAGCTTTCTGGCATAGATGCGGCCAAGGTGTCGATCGGAAATCGTCTGGCCCAGGCTTCATTCCGCATCATTCGATGCTGCGTTCAGTTTAACGTGCCTGTGTCCTTGGAGAACCCCAGGTCGTCCTGGCTGTGGCAGCAGCCGGGGCTGGCCCCTTTGTTGCGCAGAGCTTGTCTGGTGAATACTGTATACTGCAGATTCGGAACCCCGTGGCGAAAGGCCACTACTATTGCCTGTTGGAATGCTGGCCGCCCATGTGCGCTGGAACCCCTGCGCGCGGAGTGCAATGGTCCTCGCTGCAAATATTCTGGTGATCGGCATCAGGTTTTAGAAGGCAAGGCGCCAGGAGGCAAACGCTGGACGTTGGTCGCTTAGTTTCCTTGTGGGCGTCTTGTGTCGACGCCTCGAGACAATGATGTGGGCCCCTCGCTTGTTGCGCGGCGTGATGATAACTGCGGTTCGCTGCTTGGGTCTCCGCGGTGTGCTTGCATTGTTGGGAATTTCGGCTGAAAAGGGCCGCCTCAACCGCCAGGTCGCTAGATATTGGCGGATATCGGCAAGGTGGCCCAGCTGGTCCTTTTCTTTTGTCTCTCTGCTGCTGCCAGACAAGCCCCGCCGCAGCTGCAGCGAGAATAGCCTGGCCTGAGGAAAAATGGAGCATGTAGCGACGTGTAACAGTGTGCAATGCTGAATGTCTCCGTGCTGGCCGCAACTGTCTGTGCTCAAGCGGTTTTCGAGCCCAGCCACTCCACTTCGGGCCTCTCTAAGAGTGCTCTCGCACTTCCGCAGGCGTGGCAGTTGCTAGAGGCAAGGTGGCCCAGCTGGTCCTTTTCTTTTGTCTCTCTGCTGCTGCCAGACAAGCCCGGCCGCAGCTGCAGCGAGAATAGCCTGGCCTGAGGAAAAATGGAGCATCCTCGTCCTCCTCCTGCTCCTCCTCATCCTCCTCCTCCTCCTTCTCCTCCTCGTCCTCCCCCTCTGCCTGTCCATCGCTTCGGTAGAAGCGCGCCCTGCGTCGTGGGCGTCGCCTGCCGCCTGCGCGAGCGCACGCGTGCGCGACCCCGCTCTGCTGAGCGGAGTTGTGAGGATGCCGATGACGAGGATGCCGACGAGCGTGATGGTAATGGTGGTGGTGGTGATGATGGAGATCACGGGGCTGATGGTATGGTTTAGGGTGGTGATGGTGATGGCGGCTATGGTTCTGCGATGGTGATTGCGATGATGTGGAGGAGTGAAGAGGAGTTTGAGCAGGAGGATGAGGAGGAGGAGGACGATGGACTGGGTTCAGGAGGGAGGCGAAGGAGCGGGAAGGAGTAAAAGGAAAACGAGGACGGGGAGGAGTAGCAGGAGGAGGAGGACTCATTCCTTTTGACCTCCTCCTCCGCTACGTCCCGCCTCCCTTGTTCCACTTGCCGACGTTAGACCGCTGCCGCTGAGTCGTTGCTCCCCTTTTCTGTTTCGTTTCCTGCTCCGCGGCGCGGCTGCTGCTCACCTGCTTTCTGACTGCACCTCGTCGGCGCCGAGGACG